TGTGTGTGTGTGTGTGTGTGTGTGTGTGTGTGTGTGTGTCCCATATGGTGCAGTGGTATGTGCAGCGATTTCCAATCGATAGGTTGCGGGTTCGATTCCCGACGATTATGGTCACACACGTCTTTCTTCTCTTTCTCAGACTCCTCCTGACTTTTCTTCCATTCTCCTGGGTGGTTACCAACAGCCAGTGCATGCCGGAGTATGTGGTGTGATGTGTGTGCGTGAAAAAAAAGAAAAAGACCAAAAAGTAGGGATTCACTGACCAGAAAAGCCACTTCATAGCTGTGTGGTGTAGACCAGGCTGAATAGTGGTGGTCAATTCTTCAGCCTTGCAAGCTGTGGAATGGTGCAATCCCAGCACAAGCTGCTATGGCTTCTGCTATAGCATCGCTATCATCGCCTCTGGCGATGGGCGTCCAATGGTCCAATGGTGTGCGTGCGCGCGCGTGTGTGTTTGTGTGTGTGTGTGTGTATGTGTGTGTATGTGCGTGCACGTGTGTCAACGTATCCTCTACAGCATATTGGCTGAAAGACAGCCTAGGTGACTTCATCGTCTGTGGCAACTCCTCCTCTGCAACGTAAGTATAGATACCACTGGCCAGAGTTTCATTAGTAAAAAGTACTAAAAACTAGGGTCGGAACTCGAATCTTGGGTAACGCTTGTTTTAGTACAAGGGAATAATTTCAAAAATCTTCCGTGAAGATAAGAGTGTAATTAACGCAATGAAGTGATCATTTCATTGAGATATTTTGCATCCACTAACATTCCTTTTAAGACGAAATGTCATTTTTAAGCATCCTCATACCCATTGGCAAAATCACGTTCAATTCAATTCCGTTTTCTCATATCATGGAATGTGAGCAAGACCTCCATGGCTGTAGCTACTGCTACTGGCTCTCATAACAAATGCAGTCCAAGACAGAACTCCAGTGTTGGAGCTATTGACGACCGCCGATGCATGTTCATGGAACAGGGACGCCTTCTTCAGTGGTCTTGTGACTTGTGCAACCCAGGGAACGAGGGAGTATTCAATTCATGCTTGTACGAAAATGCAAACGGGCTCCTAATTGCAGGTTAAGCGCACAGCATAGTGATGCAGATATGTAGCCGAGAACTTGATGGTAGTAGAAGAGTGGATCGGCGCAAAGTCATCCGAGAGTGCTGGCCTTGCAGCAATGAACCTGTGAATCTTTTTCACATTCATTTTGTTATTGGCTGTCATTTGGCAAGCCAGGACATGTTGAATATTAGTTAACACGTTGAAATACAAATTACGAAATGCAAAGTACGAAAAACAAATCTGCAATCCTTTGCTTAGTCAGTATCCTTGCCTTAGCTTCTTGTGTTGTTTTTTTCTGTACTATGTCCTGTTCAGACCGTGTCCTGCACCCAGTGTTTGCCTGGGGGATATCGGGCAGAATCCTAACCATGGCTACACAAGCTTTGATCATTTCGGCTTTGCCTTCCTCACCAGTATACAGCTATTTACCCTGGATTACTGGGAGAATGTCTACATATTGGTAAGTCACATACACAACAAATGCAATAGAACCACTCAGTGGCCGTGTTCAGTGCAGTTATAGGCCACCGTGCGAAGACTCACCTTCGACCGAGCATGGCGGGGAAAGCACTTGTAGTTGCAATTTGTTGTTATTCGCGAGGTTGAAACTTAAATGTGTGTAGTCGAGTGGCCTCTCAGCCTGTTGACACTTCACTGTGTTGTTGTTCATGAGTTGTTACACCCAAGGTCGATACTCACATGGTTGCCGGTGTACTACCCATTTTAGCGTATAATTTTATTGCGAGTTCACCACACAATCCAGGTTAACTGGAAGCGATTGTGATACTCCAGCCACAGTAAGGAAAATAGTGTCCTGACATTCTTGACTCTTTAAAAGTGTGCTCCAGTAGTATTGCATCTATCAGCCTTTCTAGAAATCTACCATGCCAGAATTTTCTGTGAATTTTAGTCGCTCCTGAAAGTCAACTACACCATGCCCAAGCCAAGTTTGAATCCGATAGTACAGGTGCGCTCGCTGAAATCCGACCCAAAGTGCAAAGCTGGAGCCCTGTACCGGTTCCGATTACATCATTGTATTTGTACGCGTGTACGGTCAGGCGTAATCATACCACTTCCAGGACATCAAGGGTAGTGCGAAATGAGGGCACCAATTGGGTCGGATTTAACCTAGTGCGACTGTATGATGGTGTGTGTGTGTTTATTGTGCAGATAATTGCAGCATCTGGTGCGGCCGCCGTTACCTTCTTCTACTTTGTGGTGTTTGGCGGCGCGTTCTACACACTCAACTTGGTACTGGCTGTCGTCACTCTCTCCTATAACAAAGCCAGCGAAGGAGAGATGGCCAGGGATTTGGTGAGCTATACTGTACTGCTTATCATAGCGCTGATCATTAAAGAACGTGAAACAGCTCCATATTCGACTCATACTGTAGTGCTTATCACGGCGCTGGTCAATAAGGAACAGCTCCGTTTTTAGTAGTGCCTGGTGTCTTCTGGGGTAGCTGGTAGCTTGAGCGCCAAGCCCAGGCCGAAACATGTCGGAGCGAGAAGTACCTATGTGTGCCCCTGTGTAGCACCACTTCTCCATCTCTGCTCCTCTGTCATGTCTCAATCTCCTTCTGCACCACCACCGCAGTCTTAAACTGCAATCGTTGTAAATATCTCTCCGAATCTCCCTTCCCCTGGGCCCTGGGCCTCCATCAGATAATGATATGAATGCAAGGCTAGGTCAGCTACCGAAATACATAAATATCTCACTGTGCTTACCTTAATGAATATCATCTTTTGAACAGGTTCTCTGCTGGTGTTCGTATTATCATTGGTATTCCGTGTGCGCAGGAGCTGTTAGACGCTGCACAAGTGGCATACAACGAGGAAGCAAGTCTGAGCTCCAGAATCAACCTGTGTCCGCCCGAGAGTGCTACCAGTAACGACAGCAACAGCGGGAACAGTGGTAATGGCGGAGCTAACTCAGCCACAGCTACTGAGCCACCGGTGGAGTTGGAATGCACACGAGCGAGACCAACCGCCGGCAGTACTGCAAAGCCCTCTCTTGCTCCGCCGACCACTAGCCTACTGGCACCAGCAGCAGCACCAGCAGGTCGGTTACCCACAATGACTCTAAGCCCGCTGGACCCACCCCGCCCGCCAATGGAGGATTCGCCGTACAGGAGAGATCGCCGCGTGTCAGCCCCACCAGCCTTTAGTTTGCCAACCACCGTGCACGGAGAGGTTACTGAAGACAAGCTTCGTCAAGAAGCCCGCTCGCCGAAGAAGCCTAGCACTCTACACATACCAAGCCTAGATTCACAACATGCACGGCCTGGACAAGCTACGCAAGCAGCAGCTGCTGATGAGACATCTAGCTCTACGCAAAATGAACCATCGCCTCGCCCTTCTAACGCGTTGCCAGCAGCTTCCGCGGATGGCAAGCAGTCTGAAAGTGGCCTTGCCCTGCCATCCCTTGATAATGTATTTTCTGAACAATCCCCCACTGTCAAGCCACCCAGTCAACAACTGACCATTCTGCCGCCGATCCTTTCCGACTGCAGACTACCCGACATGCATGTTCGTACTCCGACACGTTTTGGTCTGGACCGCGCCCTCACTCTGCCAGTTTCCCCGGAAGACATGTCCTTGGGTAAACTGCCTCCGATGACGTTGAAGACGCCCGCGTCCCAGGCCATTGTCCGGGACTCGTCGCCCTCGCCGAAGAGCCAGCGACAGATGTCGGACACGTCACTGCCGGGGCAAACAGTCACACCGCCGCTGATGCAGCATGAGCCAGCGTGTCTGGACGATCCCGACAGCACGGACGACGATCTCTCTCCGTTGCCAGCGGCGCCCAGTCGGACTGGCGGTCGTCGTGAATCGACAACGTCTGCCGGGGCAGGACCCACTCTACACAGTCAGCTGTCATCCGCGTCGGGGGCAATGTTCACGAAGCGTTCAGTCAGCTCCAATAGTGGTCATTGTAAGTTATGCATGTTGAAACCACTGGGTTTCCCGTAGTTTTACTCGCCGTATTTGGGGTTTATGTACGCACTTAATCCATAAATGGGCATTTTGACACTCAGTTAGCTCCCTTATTAGGCGGATTTGACGTTATTGCATGTCCTCTATTCCCAATGTACTGCGATCGTCAATTCCAGTCCAGTTGCGACCAGCGGAATAGCTTTATGGGGTTTCAGCAACATTGCCATCACTGAGTCATTGTGGAAGTTGATAGTGTCTATTATTTAGTGCAGGGCATTATGAAAGAGCTTGCCTTGTCTGTGTGTGTGTGTGGGGGGGGGGGGGGGGGCTGTGTGTGTGTGTGGGGGGGGGGGGCTGTGTGTGTGTGTCGGGGGGGGGGGGGGGGGAGTTGAAGCCAACGTGGCTGTCCTGTTTGGTGCATTTGATCGGGATCTTATTGATCTGGTCTTGACTTACTCACTATAGTCTGATTCATACTTCATTTCGCGTACGGAAAACGCGTCGCGTAGCGAAAAAGTTGATCTGAGGTCAACTATTAATATTTTCGCGTACGGGAAAGCCACGGTCGCGCGATGACTTTCCCGTACGCGACATGAAGTATGAATCGGCCTTCACTCACTCACTCACTTAAGTTCCCTCTCTCTCTCTCTCTCTCTCTCTCTCTCTCTCTCTCTCTCTCTCTCTCTCTTTCTCTCTCTCTCTCTCTATCTATCTCTCTCTCTCTCTCTCTCTCTCTCTCTCTCTCTCTCTCTCTCTCTCTCTCTCTCTCTCTCTCTCTCTCTCTCTCTCTCTCTCTCTCTCTCTCTCTCTCTCTCTCTCTCTCTCTCTCTGTCTCTCTCTCTCTTCTCTCTCTCTCTCTCTCGCTCTCTCTCTCTCTCTCTCTCTCTCTCTCTCTCTCTCTCTCTCTCTCTCTCTCTATCTATCTATCTATCTATCTCTCTCTCTCTCTCTCTCTCTCTCTCTCTCTTTGCATCTTCCTGCCTGTCCATGTCTTGTTTCCACCTTCCCAGCGCGTTCAAGCAGTCTGACATTTGACCTGCGTCCAGCACCGCTACCTCTCCCTCCAACAGTGTTTGTCCAGGACGAAGATGAGAATGTCGTGGAGGCTGTCAGAGTGCGCACGCGACGACGCCTGTCTCACCACGTTGACCAGGTGCTGTTACCGGTGGCTCGGCGTACTGCCAAGTTTGTCAAGTCCACTCAGTTTGAGATCCTGATTATGCTCTGCATCGCGCTCAACACCGCCCTGCTGGCTATTGAGCACCCATTCATGGACCCTGACCTATCGGTGGGTCTGTGTAGCGCTAATCTGGTTAGTAGTCATGATCTGTCTATCCGTCTTGTGTCTATCTGTCTATCCGTCTATCCGTCTATCCGTCTATCCGTCTATCCGTCTATCCGTCTATCCGTCTATCCGTCTACCCGTCTACCCGTCTATCCGTCTATCCGTCTATCTGTCTATCTGTCTTGTGTCTCTTGTGTCCATTGTCTGCTTGCATGTGTAGGTTACTAGTATTTTATATGAGGATTTCCCAAATACATACTAGTAGTCTAAAACTGTAAATTGAATGGAGTTCCAGGTTGATGTTGCTCTATTAGCCTTGTTGCAGGTCAAGCAAGGAATTCATTCTCACCATCCACAACCATGCATTATTATATGTTACAATTGAGCGCAGGGCATACCTTGGAAGCGAGCACTCGCTACCCAATCACTGTCTCTTTCCTGCGACTCGAGCTCTCACTACACACCAATAATTATGGTACAGTATTTGGATCTGCCAAGTTTCGAAGAATGACTGTGTTCGTGTGAGCGACTTCTGAAACATAATTGATTGTATTTTGTGTGTGTGTGTGTGTGTGTCAATCTGTTTGTTTGTCTGCCTGTCCATCTGTTTGTGTGTGTGTGTGTGTGTGTGTGTGTGTGTGTGTGTGTGTGTGTGTGTGTATGCACTCACGTATGTATGTACATTTGTGTGTGCATGTGTTGCTTGCTGTTTGGCGTATGAAGGCTCTCGGAACAGTGTTCTTGATCGAGGCCATTCTGAAGATGTTATCCTACGGGCTGAAAAACTACTTCAGAGTAGCGTGGAACGTCTTCGACTTCCTCATTGTTCTCTTCTCCATCATTGAGTTCATCCTGATGGCCGCTGGTAGCGGAATATGCAGCGTGGAATCTTCCAACATCGCCACCGTCTTCCGAGCATTTCGACTGGTAAGATGTTTCGTGCATAGCACACTGCTGCACCGAACATCCCCATCAAGTGCATAGTGACTTAGTGTTGTTGTCGCTTGATGCACTGTACAGTAAACTTGTGTTTGCCTGACCCTGTAGGCCTGTACCAAGCTGAATCCTGTATTGACCGGACACATTTTCATGTACCAAAGTGCTGTGGATCCAACATGCACTCCTGGATCTAGCGGAATCCTGTCGTATCAGGACAGTTTCCGCTGCGCCACGGGCGTCTGGTTAGAGGGACCGTGTTTACTGTCCATGCTGCTCTGTGTGGTATTCCTTCATTGCAGAACACGCCTGTGAACACACGGCCTAGTACCATCTAGGCAACTGCCTTGGGATTGCTGATCAGCAACCAGAGGCCAAAGGTCGAAATCCCGTTTTCTGAATCCATACTGCCGAATGGACAGTGATAATGTCATCACCCCTGCTGTTCTCCGCTGTTTAAAAAAAATGTTGTTCTTGCAGTTGCGTGTGTTGAAGATGGCGCAGTCCTGGAGCACAATGCGTTCCCTGCTGGCTATTATAGCTAACAGTATCAAGGATCTTGGCTACCTGACTCTGGTGATGGGTATCATTCTGTGCACATTCGCACTTGTCGGGATGCACTTGTTCCAACCATACTACACCACCTATGCCTTTGCACCTGATCGTAAGTGTGTGTGTTCAACTCACTGTCACTGTGCTGCTCACTACATGCATGCAGGGTTCCGTGATGTCCTATCCAGGACATCTCCAGGACTGGTCTTACTCACTGCATGCATGCAGGGTTCCGTGATGTCCTATCTAGGACATCACGGAACCCTGGCCACTGTCTTACTCGCTGCGAGCATGCTGGGTTCCGGTATGTCCTATCCGGGACATCTCCAGGACTGGTCTTACTCACTGCATGCATGCAGGGTTCCGTGATGTCCTATCTAGGACATCACGGAACCCTGGCCACTGTCTTACTGGCTGCGAGCATGCTGGGTTCCGGTATGTCCTATGCAGGACATCTCCAGGACTGGTCGCTGTGGTAATCACTATGTTGCTGCTGTTGTAATTACTGGGCTTTCTCATTCCACCTCCCAGCCCTGTGCCATCTCTACATTACTTGTACAATGGACGAGATGACTACATTTAGAAGACTGTGTATTATGACAAGACGACCTGAACACAACTAGACATGACGAACTCAAGACAAAGACTGCTGTTCACACCACAGCAACACGCGCATGCACCAACACACGATGTACACAAAATAACACACTACCACACAAGCACTGTGCCGTCATTGTACCGTGTGTCTGCACTCCTCTTGTTGCTGCTCAGCCATCTACTCTTCCTCTCCACCTCCTCATTAACCTCTTCCTCCTAGAACCTTACTCTGCCCCCCCCCCCCCCCACACACACACACATACTCACGCATGCACGCATGCACGCACGCCCGCGCACACACACACACACACACACACACACACACACACATCACGTCGGGGTCAGGTTCAATTCAATTCTGAGGCACGTAGCCGCACGTGCACAAGGTCTCAAGTCTCGCTTGGACTTGTACTGCCACGAGCCTCCTCTCGATTTGGTTATTCCTCTATTTCTTTTTTAGCTGCTGACCGCTGGAACTATGTTCCGGTATCGGTACGCCTTGCTGCTTCACCAAGTCAATTTCGTATCGCAATCCTAGGTTGGCTGGGGTACCCCGTAAGGACACAGTCAACTTCGCTAATAACGACTGCGGATATAGCGACAATTCGCGAATAACGACAGAATTTCCATGCCCAGAGCAAAGTCCCTTCCAACTGTAATCAGGGGCGTCGGAACCGGTGCGGCAGGTGCGGCCAAAGCCGCACCAATAATTTTGGAAGTTTTTTTTTTTTTTTTTACATTTCAACCTTGTTGGTGGCTTGTCGACTCTTGTACAGGTACCATGTATTACATCGACAATGCGGTGTATCATCAGCATGCATATTCTTATTTCTCATATTATTCTGTAGCATTAAAATATGGCCTTTTAGGCCCAATTTTCAAAAAAAATCCCGGGGGAGGACCCCCGCACCCCCCTCTCACACTTTCGCCGCACCAATGTTAAACTGCTTCCGACGCCCCTGGTAATACATATAATGAGACTTCGGGTATAACGACACTTCGCGAATAAGGACACTTTTCTGATGCCCCGCCGAGTGTCGTTATTGGCGAAGTTGACTGTACCATAGGTCTGTGGGGACTGCCCTAGAGAAATCTGAATAAATGCTTTACTATACTACTACACTGCTCATTCAATAAAGCCCAGACTCAGTGTCAGCAGGGAAGCTTGATCCAAGGTGTTGGAATTTCTTTCCTTTTGGTACAGCAATACCTCGCTGGAATTTCACTGACTTTGGAAACTCGCTGATGGTGATATTTCGCATTGTGTGCGGTGAATGGATTGAACCCCTTTACGACACAATGAGGGCCAGTAGTCCTGCCGCTGCAATCTTCTATCTCATCGTGTTGGCAGTCGGAAACTTCCTGGTAAGTTGATCACGTTGCTGCCTTGCTGTCTGTTGTTCTGACACACATACACACGCACACATACGCACACACATACACACGCACACATATGCATACGCACGCATACTCACACACACGCACACACGCACACACTCACGCACGCTCGCACTCACGCACGCACACACCCACACACACACACACACACACACACACACACACACACAACACACACACACACGCACACACACACACACATACACACACACACGCATTTGTACTTATAGGTTATAATTATACTTGCTCACTGCCAAACTGGTCACATGGGTCTCCCCGGGAGAGGGGAGACATACAAACACATAATTATATACACACAAACACACACATACACACCTTCACAAACAGACACACACACACACACACACACACACACACACATTCACAAACACATGCTATCGCACCTCAACAGAATTGCACATGTGTACGAAACACTCGTACATGTGCCACTTTAGCTGAGTGTGAATGAAAATATGTGTTACCTGCCTCCAACTGAACTCTTCTACTGGGAGCAGTGAGCTCAGACATAACATTTTCTTCTGCGTTATTCCTGGTTTTTTTTTAATTTCTGTACAGATCTTGAATCTCTTCTTGGCTTTGCTGCTGAATTCATTCGACGTGGAACAGATACGACAGAGCAAGAGTGAGGAAGTGAAGTCGAAGTCCTTTGCAAAGCGGCTGAAGAAGGCTGTGAAGCGACTGAACTGCTGTAGACGGCAGAAGATCTCGCCAAAGACGCGGAGAAGATCACGACACAACACGTTGACCTCAGAAGCCGGAGAGGAACTTGCACAACAAGCGGAGAAGGCTCGGAAAGCACCGGTCGAGAGTGCAGCCAGCACAGGCAATGTTAGAAAGCTGCGTCCTGAGAACACGAGCGGTGTTTCTCTACCCGATCGAGCTAACGTTAGAAAAAAACCATCAACAAACATTGCCACCAGTGTGGCAGCGGCAGCAGCAGCTAATTCTGATACGCTGACATACACTCACAAACAAGAGTCAAGCGCGTCGGCTGTTCGTATCGACATTGGCGATTCGTCGCCGCGACCAAGTCGTCAAAGCGAGTGCTCAACGCGCACCCTCCTGATGGCTGAGAACTCCGAGAGGACGGTCGACGAACTGCACGTACGCAAACGTAATCTGAGCGAGTCGTCCACTGGCGGTGTGCCGACGCTTACTTTAACTCCCATGGATATGTGCGATACAACGACAGCAGTGTCGGCCGCAGCAGTGAGGACGGTGGAAACACACCGCCTGTCTCTGGAAGAGCAGACCATCAACGACGCCGGTAAGCAGGAAGTGCGTCTGTCCGTCACCGAGACACGCACTCGCTCCTCGTCATTCTCGTCTGAGCGCTCCGCCACCAACCTTGCCGTGGTGTCGTCGGTGGACGGTGGCAAGAGTAGTGTGTCACTACAGCCGAGCCAAGCCAGGATCGGCAGCGTGACGTCTAACATTAGGACAATGCGCCAGACAGCAGCAGGTGGTAATCCACAGAGCGGTAGCATCGGCGGTGGTGGTGGTGGTGGTGACGGTGATCAATGCTGTACGTGCATCACGTCGCACCGGTGCTGTCACCTGTGGTGCCTGTGTGCGTTCACGCCCAAACGCACCATGTCCGGCGCTGATGAAGTGGAAATGGTGCGACTGGATCCCACGTCTGGCCGTGCAGCTGACCCTGGATCTAGCGGAGATGAGACCAGGAGGAGAGGTTGCAAGCATGGCTGTGTGTCGTTCTGGCGGAAATGCCAGGAGTTGCTGGGGCGTATAGTGTCGCATAGCTACTTCGACAACATCATACTGGTGCTCGTCATCTTCAGTAGCATCTCATTGGTATGTACAGTGTGTGTGTGTGTTTGTATGTGTGCGTGCGTGCGTGTGTGTGTGTGTGTGTGTGTGTGTGTGTGTGTGTGTGTGTGTATGTGTGCCCGTGCGTGTGTGCGTGTGTGTTCATGTAACGTGCTGATTTCCTCAATGTTTGTACTGTCACATGGTGCTCTGGGTGTTTCTTTGAACAAGCGGTGTCCGCGGATCAGCTATTCAAGCATGGCAGAAACTGATCTTGACAGAACTCTTAGCTATATTGTACTCATTTCCTCACCAACCTCCTTCCTTTGTCTGCGCCTTTCAATCCTGTGACTGGTGTGTTGCTACAGGCGTTTGAAGACAGCACAGTGGAGAAGGACTCTCCGAGGGATAACATACTCCAGACCCTGAACATAGTCTTCACCGCATTGTTCACTGCCGAGCTGCTCGTGAAGAATGTGGGTCTGGGTCCGAGGACGTACTTCAGCAGCCCGTGGAACTGGCTGGATGCCATCATAGTACTTGTAAGTTTTTCAATAATTTTTTTATGGTTTTTTACACTTGTAAGTCAGGGGCGTCGGACACGCTGCGGTCACAATAGTACTGACTATGCCACTTTTCACCGTGGTCGAGCATGCCTCCTTCGTGCCCGTTGTGCGTTCTGCCTCTGGTGTCTATGGCAAGCATTCCAATGCTCTTTTCACGCGGATCGCCTCTCTCCTGGCTGAGAAGAGTAAGGAGCCATACTTGCAGATTATCTCCTTGCTGCGCTGCCGCCTTGGGTTTGCCCTGGTGCGTTGCGGTGCTATGTGCCTGCGTGGCTCAAGGAGCATGTTTGCTCCTGCCGTGCCTGAGTCCCCTGCTGTGCTAGTGGCGGCGGAGGCACGCATCCAGTGAACCTGCAGTGATCCTATTGAGTGACAGACTCTGTATAATCATTACTGTATCTGATGATTCATTTTATGTAATTGTGTTGATTCTTCACAAAATTAATGTGTTGATTCTCCACAAAATTAATGTGTTAATTCTTCACAAAATTAATGTGTTATTTTGCCCGTACAAGAGGCTCAAGGAGTTCATTCCTAAAAAATAAAAATAAACTTTTCATCGTGAGCACCTTTTTCTATTATTATTAACTACTACGATTATTGGCTCTAAACTGTGATATTTGTAAAGGATATCCTCCAAATAACACCTACAACAATGGCTGACCGTACCATTCTGAAATACCTTCTGACACCCCTGTATGTGAAGATCAATATCTAAATAAAACAATTCCGTTCAAGGCCTGTAAACCGACATATCCTGGTTGTCTGATGATTGGGAGTAGACAAGAGTCAGTTTCCTCCTCCCCCCAGGACACACACATGCAATCTCCGGTGTGAAAAAGTCTGCTCGAGTGCATTGGGGTCTCTTCAAGCAGTGGAGCACCTTACATGTACCTGTTTAACCTCTATTGACTGTAGTACTGTAGTACTGTAGTACTGTACTGTAGTTGTAGAATATAACCAGGGTTCGAATCTGTGTCATTGATACACAGCAAACTATTAGTGTAAGCCTTGCTTGTGAACTGAGACCACTTGCGCGTGTGCGTGCGTGTCTGTGTCTGTGCATGTGTATGTGTATGGTTGCATGTCATCAGGTTTCACTGGCCAGTTTAGACTACACGGGTGACAATAGCAATGAAAGCTTATCAGCACTGCGTGCTCTGAGGACACTACGCTGCCTCAGACCACTACGCACCATCTCTAGGTGGAATGGAATGAAGGTAAGAGAGAGACACTCACTACCCGGTTCTGGACATGTTGATGTGTGGTTGGTATTAGTCACACGGATGATGCCTACGGTACTGGCGGTTGCCGAAGAATTGGGGGGGGGGGGAGGTGTTTGCCTGTTTGGGCGCGTTCCTGTCACTCGAGTTGAGCCTTGGTGTGAAAGTGGAAGCCTGGGGGCATGGTGACCAGGTGACTGGTGTACGCATGAGCACGTGGCCGCTTACTCTACCGTGTTCGATTGGGAATAAGGGCTGAACGCTGCATCGCAGCCTTCTCGGACCAAAACCAGTCGACTCTGCGTCCGAAAGACTACAACATGGGCCAATCGCGATCGTCCGTGCTTTTATAAGAACAAAATGGCGTTTTTAGTGACTTTTACATACAAATACCCGTCTAGTAGGGCGCAGTCACCCAGTTTCGGTGGAAGTGCGCGAGTTCGATTGGGAATAAAGGAGGAAGGGAGCGTCTCAGCTTCCTCGGACCAAGACCATTCGACTCAGCACCCCCGAAGACTACAACTGGTGAAAACTTGATGTTTGGGCTTAACTTCCCCTTTAAGTAGTGAAGTTCCATAAGAACTACTCTGCATGAATTGATACGCTTTCACCTACATTGTACTTTCCTGTGTGTGTATGTGTGTCTATGTGTGTGTCTGTGTCTATGTGTGTGTCTGTGCCTATGAAGGCTGTTGTCAACGCTCTGCTGAAATCCATCCCTGGAATCAGTAACGTTCTTCTAGTGTGCTTCATCATCTGGCTCATCTTCAGCATTCTCGGTGTGCAGTTCTTCGGAGGTCTCTTCTACAAGTGTATGGTGGATGGCGAGCGCGTCTCTCATACCATCGTAGCCAACAAGAACGAGTGCATCTCGCTGTACAACGAGGAGGCATGGGTGAACTCTCCGCAGAACTTTGACAATGTGTTCAATGCTGCGCTGTCCCTGTTTCAAGTGGTGAGCTAGTCCCACTGAGCCAATTCTAAGTGTATTTAAAATGTGTTTTGGCAAGGAATGTCCTCCACTTCTCTATTCATCACTCTCCCTTTCTTCACTTCTCTGTCCTTGTCTCTCTCTCTCCCTCTCTGCCTGTTTGGCTCGCTCGCTTGCTTACACACGCATGCACGCATACGTACAACTCCATGCATGCACGCATGTACACACACACACACACACACACACACACACACACACACACACACACACACACACACACACATACACATATACACATGTCACCTTCATGATTGCCACTTGATGACTGCCTGGAAGGCTAAGGACATGTTTGAAAACAGACTCCAATACTTTTGGATTGCCTGCATGGGTTTTACGTGTACGTGTCAATATTGATCTTATAAGTAGCGACTTCGGCGGTATTAGTGGTGAAGTTTGTTGTTCCTAGGTGCAGAGAGTAGTGCTTTCTTGCAGGTTAGCCGAGTGGAAGGTGTAAAATGATCCTCGTGTGCTCCGGACGGCAGTCGTCAGTCAGTCAAGTGTCAGGTTCGGCAGAAAGTGTGTGTTCCACGTAGGAACAACCAACTTCTGTTGATATTGTTTTCTGAACGACCAACTTCTGCTGTAATATTGTTTTCTGATAAAAGATGCATGTGTTGCTTTGTGTTGGCGTGCAGGCAACCTTTGAAGGCTGGATCGAGCTAATGGCGGACGCTGTCGATGCCACTGGTCTAAATCAGCAGCCCATCTACGACAACAACTTTGCAGCCAATCTCTATTTCGTTGTGTTCATCATCATTGGCTCTTTCTTCGTTCTCAATCTCTTTATTGGTGTGATTATCGACAGCTTTGCTCGAATCAAGAGAGAGGTGAGGGTTTGTGCCCGAGAGGGGAGACTAAGGCAGAATCCATTTCTCTGTGTGTGTGTGTGTGTGTTTGTGCGTGCGTGTGTGTATGTGTGTGTTTGTATGTGTGTGTGTGTGTGTGTGTGTGTGTGTGTGTGTGTGTGTGTGTGTGTGTGTGTCTGTGTGCGTCTGTGTGCGTCTGTGTGTGTCTGTGTGTGTCTGTGTGTGTATATGTGCATACATGCCTGTTCCAGATGTTCATAAGTTGTTCCTCGAACATTCTGTACCCTATCTACTTTTCCCCCTCTCCCTGCATCTCTCCATCTCTTTCTCATACACACACTCAGGATTTGCTCTCTTCATATCTCTTTTTCACTGTTGCCCCTCCCCCCCCCCCTCTCTCTCTCTCTCTCTCTCTCTCTCTCTCTCTCTCTCTCTCTCTCTTTCTTCATCCTGTTACTCATTGTGTTGACGTATTGTCCATTGTGTACTGTACACTCATAGATAGAGGTGTGCATCACTAGTCTGTGCCTATTGTAGTCCCGCACGACTATACTACAGTTGCGCACACTGAAATCCGACTCAAAGTGCAAAACTAGCACCCTAAACCAGTTCCGATTACATCACTTTACTTGTACATGTGTACGTCGAGCCGCATTCCTACCACTTCCAGGGCGTCAAGGGCCGTGCAAGTTGAGGGGGCCAGATATACACTTTGGGTCAGATTTCACCGAACGCAACTGTAATACTAAACAGTTTGAGTCGGCAATAAGAAATAGTGATAATAATTAAGATTGTGGCCCAGCAGCTGTAAGCGGCATTGCAGTGACATAGACTGTGTTTGGCCTGCTTCCCTTTTATTGTACAGAATGAGAACCAGCCAACGTTTTCCAAGTTTCTCACTCCAAGTCAACAGGCCTGGATCAAGACTTGGAAGAAGATGGCTGACCGGAAGCCCATCAAAACAGCCAAGCCACCAAAGGTTAGAGTCACCGTACATGCGGGATTTCGGACTACCGTCTCTAGCTATGCAGGCATTGTGGGATGATGGTAAGATGACGGTCTAAGACCATCATGGAGAAAATAATCAAATCCTGCTTGGAACGGAAGGATTTTTTCCAACCGTGCTGCGATCAACAGTTATTCCCCGTGGCCTGGCGAAACATGGCCATGGGTGCAGAGAATGAGGTTTTAGCCCGTGACTACTTTGTGCTGGCTCTGATCTACAGTAAAACCCTATTGAGAAGATGAAAACAAACTTCTTTCGCTTTGCTTTGAAGTAGAAGAACTAGTATCGATAAGTCTATTGGATAAATCACTGTGTATTCACTAGGTATAAGCTATGGAAAAGAAGAACTCGCGTTATTGTGAACGAATACCATCGGTCCCTTGGTGTTCATCCTGCAGAGGTTTGACTGCCCACCGCTGTCGATAACGTCAGGAGCTGCATCTGTGCCTTGACAGGCGTGAGGGCCGTTGTGGGTGATGGTGTTTATCTGCTGATGTTCGTGAAACACCAGTGTAAGCAAGCCCAGCGACAGGCGGGATAAACTTGAATTTTTCTAGGCTGCCATGTGAGGGCTCTTGAATTAGGACTCCTGTGCTTACTGATCTCATCGGGAACACCATCGGGCACTGTTGTTTAGTGGAGTGCCGCGCATGCGCTGGTAGGAGTATGATGCAGGTTGCTTCATTGCTGTGATCTGATGAGTATACTGTACACTGTTTTATTGACAGTCTGTGATCTGTGTTTCAGGGCCGGGTCCGGCGTTTCTTCTACAAGATTCTGGATGACCCTCGTTTTGAGGTAGCCTTGATGCTGACCATCCTAGCCAATGGTGTGCTCATTGCTACAGAGCATCACAATCAGGTGAGAGCAATCTGACAGTCACGCAGGACCGGCGGAAGCAGTTCTTGTCTGGTCCGGCCATACCCTAGTCTTTCATACGGTTTGTGTATGATATAGCTGGTGAGCATAGCCTCCTCAGCAGTCAACATGCGTGGGTGGTCGTTAAGTTGGTCCGGTGATAACCTGACCAACCGGACCGGTTTCGGCGGGCCTGCACTGTTGGAGATGAGTGTGTTGCGTGTATTTTTGTTGTTGTATTGCCACGCTTTCTGGCATAGTGGTGGCATGTGGATGCGAAGGCTGGCTTGTGTGTTTCTGAACATTCAAGCGATGCTCGGACGCGGATCCCGCGATTATTGTTATTTATTGCCACGCTCTCTGCAACGCATGACCCGTGCGTTGTCGTTCATGAGGAGTTCCTATTGTATCCACGTCATGGGTGCTTATGCCCCGTTTGTGGCCTTCCCCACCTTGTGGCTGTTTGTCTGCTGCCAATTACATTCTTGCGCAAGAGATAGTGCAGTTGTGGGGATTGAGCATGGCCATGTAACGTAGATGTGCTCTTATGTGTGTTCCATCCGTACTGTTGCGGACGTGGAAATCCGGTCGAGCGAGGCCGGCGCCCTCGGTGGGTACTGAATGTTGCATGCAGGGCATGTGTTGATCGTATGCGCACTCACGGCTGCATGGCCAGCGCCCCTGGGGCCGCTTGACCTCCGGCCGGATTTCCACGTCCACCACAGAGCGTGTTCTCTGCATGTGTCTTGTGTGCCTGGCACAGAGCAAAACCTGGACGGAGGTTCAGTTCTACCTGAATCTGACTCTGACCACCTTTTACATACTGGAGGCTACTGTCAAGATCTACACATGGCGCAAGGCCTACTTTCAAAGTGGCTGGAACCTTTTTGACCTTCTCATCATTATGTTGGGAATTGCCGGTAATAGTGAGTTCCAGTCGTTCTCTTCTCTTTTTTTAAAACTTGAAACCAAGCACCCAATTCGTAAAACAAGAAAGAAGGAGGAGGGGATGACAAAAAAAAACAGACTTACAAGATATTGACTGAATGGGGCTGCTTGCTTTACTAACCTTCAGAAAATGCCAACAAGGGGGGGGGGGAGTTAAAAATCAATATTTCACTATTTCAGCGTGCTGAGTCGGTTGGTCTTGGTCCAGGTTCATGGTGGCACTAGCCGCTAAGCACCTCATGTTTTATTCTTGCTTTTCAAGTAACCGAGGGTACGTCCAAAAGAAAGTCATCTGTATATGTGAAATGATTTGCATAGACAGCGCAGCTCTCAGGTAATTCAATCTGCTTCGGATTGCACCAAACCAAGCGGCACGTTGTGCAGTCCCGTACGGGGCCCGCATACAAAACCATATTCGATTGGGAGTAAGGGTCGAACGCTGTATGGCAGCTTCCTCTATGTAATGCACTAATGCACACTGTGCACTTACACATGATCACAGTTGCATGCTCTTGGTTTTTGGACTCTTGATGTTAGCTATGTGGGATTGGCAACAGACCTACTCTTCTGACTTGTGGCCCAATTGTTCAATGTGCCTAATGCCTACCCTGACTGTGTTGTTGTTGTTGTTGTTGTTGTTGTTGTTGTTGTTGTTGTTGTTGTTGTTGTTGTTGTTGTTGTTGTTGTTGTTGTTGTGTGTGTGTGTGTGTCCGTGCGCGTGTTGGTGTGTGTGTGTGTGTGTGTGTGTGTGTGCGTGTGTGCGTTTACGTGCGTGGTGCAGGGCTGGTACTGGAGCTCTACTCGCAGAACTTTGGCCTGAACCCGTCGTTCCTGCGCATGGCGCGGCTGGTGCGCATAGTGCGTGTGCTGCGCCTGGTGCGGCGTATGCAGGGACTGCGTCGTCTGCTGTTCACGCTGATGTACTCACTGCCGGCGTTGATCAACGTGGGCGCCCTGCTCATTCTCACCATCTACATCTACTCCATCCTGGGCATGTCCGTGTTTGGACACGTCAAACGCACCGGGGTGCTCAGCGACCAGATCAACTTTGAGGACTTCCCGCACGCCTTCCTGGTGCTGTTCCGCGTGGCCACTGCGGCCGGGTGGAACGAAGTGCTCTACGGCTTGATGGTACAGCCGCCGTTCTGTGATCCCAGCTACAAGGGCTTGCCCAATGGCAACTGCGGCCGTCCCATCGTGGGCCCGCTGTACTTGGGTTCGTTTGTGATGATCTCCTATCTGATTGTAGTCAATATGTACATAGCCATTGTGCTGGAGAACTTCGCCGAGACCGAGGAGGTGGGACTGGGCGATTCCGATCTGGAGACGTTCTACGAAGCATGGACGAAGTTCGACCCGGCCGCCACGCAGTTCATCCCGTTCTACGACATTCAGCGGCTGATACGTGCGATTCCCAGGCCGCTGGGCATACCGGCGGCGGACCTGAAAACGATAGCCGCGCTGGACATCCCGCTGTTCAAGGACGACGAGAATGACATGATGGTGGCACACTGCCTGGATGTGATGGATGCACTGGTACGCCGTGTGCTGACCAAGGCCCTGGGAGACATGGAGGACTCCACGTACTTTGCCGAGATGATGCAGCAGACGCAGGAGAAGTTCAACGAGAAGTTCCCGAACCGCTCCAAGATCAAGCCGGTGTCGTCGTCCGGGGAAATGGTGCATGCCACCATAGCCCTGCAGAAAGCCGTGCGGAGATTTCTGAGTGCAAAGCGTTTGCGCCGTGAGGCCGAGGCTATTGCAGAAGAGGAGGCCACCTCGCCTAGGAAGGCCATGGTCCTGTCTGCCCCCTTGGCTGCCGTTCTCTCTCCTGCCAGTCCCACCACCGCTGTTATGGCCAACACGCCAGGGGGGCAGCATCAGCAAGTGTTTGATTTCAATCTGACGCATCATTCAGCTGCGCAACTGCGACAGTCAAACCGCCCGCAGAGTGCAAGCTCATCTCACCTTCGCTCCGCTGCCACGACATCGCAGCATTCTCTCAGCAGTAGATTGGAACCGGACACCACACGGGCCAAAGCTACTGGTGGCGGTTTGCTGGGCGTGGCGGACACCAGAAGTTCCCGGTCGATCGCCGGCAGAGCTGCTGGCATCATTCGCCAGGACTATTCAACATCTACCAGAGAGCTGTATAAGCAGCATAGCCCGTCATCTGAAAACAAACCGTTGATAAGCGACGCCAGCACGAGTAGTGACAGCCTACCCAATTCCCCATTCGGTGCCGGGCTGGGACGATTTAAACGCAGCTCCACGTTGGACAGCACCACAGGCACAACTAGCCGCCCAAGGTCACCAGCTGCCAAACAGCAATCTGCATCATCACTGCAGCCTGGTGGTCCGGCATCTACTCGTGCTCAACGTCATAGCCTCCCGGCACCAATGTCCACGGGGCTTCCGCCCGGCACGCAATGTGCCGACGATGCCAACATGCCTGGCGCAGCACGGAAGACAGGCACGGACAAGGGCTCAGATAAACCACCAACCAGCGCAAGCCGAGCACAGCCAGGCACCAGTGCAGCTAACGCCGCAGTGCCCACGCTTTGCGTCGAAACGTCTCGAGTTAGCCCGGCAGTGACTGTGTCTTGTACTCCTGATGCAGAGCATGTCGCCGCAGAGACAGGGCGAGCGCTACCAGCCATCACAACGTCACAAGACACCACATCACCAACTGCCAAACCTGTAAATCTCGCTCCCAGCGCAGCAGTGCATGTCACTGCAGATTCATCTCCTACAGTGGTGGTGGGCAAGAGCAGAGTGATGGCGAGACCTACTGGTCGCTCGCTGTTTGCATCCTCTGACAACCTACGATCATCGTCGTCTGCCAATGAAATCACCGCCTCCGCTCGGCAAACATCCAGCCCCAGAACCTCACTTACCAGCCTCGGCTCAAGACTTGCCTCAGCTGCTCGCGCAGTTTCAACTAAATCACTGCGCGTGTCGCCCGTCACTTCGTCCCCGCACTCCTCCGCTCCGGGAACTCCGAGGCTAACACGCTCCACGAAGTCTCTCCACTCCCCTTCTTCGGCGGTGCATGTCAGCCATGGGGATAGCGGTGCATCTCTGAAACGGTCAGCCCACTCGATGGTGTCGGGAAAATCTCCACAGCTTTCCAGGTCTGGTCGAGTGCTACAGCCGGGGGAGTCCCTACGTCGCACCAGATCAGCACGTACAACAGAGGAAGGCGAAACCCCTCATCTCTCTGCTCACACCAGCGGCAACAGTCTCAAGCAATCCACTCCCAACTTGAACCTCCCCGATGAAACAACAATTGAAGAGCTTGTTTGACGCTCATTATGATTGCATACGTTCTGCTAAATTTTGTTGAGATGCTCGAAATCTAAAATCCGCAAATGAGGCAATTTAAAAATCAGTCCTATCCTAAGTTATCAGCACACAATTGCTAGATATAAGCGACCAAATGCCGCTGGACGGCATGAACTGATATTTATCTCATCGTTGAAACTTGTCTGAACCTTATTTGTATTTTTGCGCTATTGTAGGCACAAGGAATTTTGAAGAAGCTGAACACAAAAATTGCTGAAAATTAGGCATAGTGAGGATGCTGCTGCGCGAAGGTTTTTAGAATTAGCCTCACAAAAAATGTATTGCTGCTTTTTTCTTAGAATTTGAATTCAGGTTTGACCAGATCCACCAGTCATAAACACAACACACTGCCAAGTAGTCGAGCATTGTATCTATGTGTGTGTGTGTGGGGGGGGGGGGGATGCTGGATGTGTGTGTGTGTGTGTGTGTGTGTGTTGGGGGGGGGGGGCATGCTGGATGTGTGTGTGTGTGTGTGTGTGTGTGTGTGTTGGGGGGGGGTTGCACGATTAGTGTGTGAGCGCTGGTTCCAATGCCTGCACTGTAATAGCGTCTATTCAGTTGCTATGATGCATGACTCAGTGAGAATGCGCTAGTAGTAGCCTAAGAGTAAGAGCACTGTGGTGGGTTGATACACTGGCATGGTATTATGTCTTCTGGCCATGTAGTCACCTAATCCTAATCCTGTAGCTTGACATAGCTACACAACGGGATGCTGACGACAGGACGGAGTGATGACTGAGGCCCATGAAGTTTTTTGTAGGCCATGCTGTGCCGGTCGCTGCAATCATATTCAATTCCTGGCCAGCTCTTCCGGTCTGTGAGGCTGGTGGAATAACACTGCTTGTGCTGCTGCTGCTGCCGTTGCTGCTGCTGCTGCCGTTGCTGCTGCTGGGTGCTTTGTGTTCTCTCCCTTCCTTGGCAATGATTGCTCAGTAGTGACCAGGGAGTAGTATAATACCGGTATTTCACTACTCTCTGGTAGTGGTAGTGACCATTGCTCATTGCCCATGTGTGTGTGTGTGTGTGTGTGTGTGTGTGGATAGCATCGCCATTAGTCATGGCTCTGGCTCCAACTGCTGCTCATCCCATCTTGCCGGATAGGCTACGGTGTGTGATGCTGGTGGTGGTGAACCTGGAAAATAACAGAACAATGGCATCTTTAATACATATATCGCATGCTATCCACTTTGAGTTATGATTCTGTTGCCATAGCGGCTAAGTCTTGCAGATATTATGTTTGACAGAACTCGGTCATACACATACAGTGGGCGGTGTGCCTAAGGTGATGGTGGTCCTAGTCACTGCTTTTCTCTTTCAAATGGGAGTGTGCATGTGCATGTGCACGATGTGCTGCAGTGCTGGTCACTGAGATCGCTACATTTCTGCATCCCAAGTCGAGCAGTCCTCGACACCCTACAGCTGTGGTACCCCACCAGTCCACTGTGCAACTCACTATGCAGTTCTCCGGAGCAAGTGATCCGAGTTTGCTGTATCGCACTGTGCTCATGCTGTTCACTCACCAAATTTCCAATCAACATCAGTATCCACATCCGCTTGATACGACGTCATTGACCTAGAATCGATAGCGCTTGCATGATCATTATCTTGCCACATAGCGGCCTGCACACATACGGGTATAACGTTAGATGTAACAAGGAAAACAGATGTCTATCCGGATTTGGGCAGAAAATACCGACATGGTCCGATATGAAGCTATTAGTTGTCCGGCGGAATGGATTGCATATCTTTGACGGGTGACCAGGGCAATTGAAACGAAAGAGATGTTCTTTTAGGATGACTATTATAGGCTGAAAGCAAGTATACACAGAACAAAATGATAATAGAGTTGCCTCTGAAAGATCTGAAGGGTATTCACCTAACAAGCTATACACCAATGAAGTCGTAAAAATCAACTACATGCAGCGTCTCTCACCAAGTCTATGACTCGAGAGCTTGCCACATCATCCATTGGATACAAGCACTGTGTTGGTGATGGTGATCGCTGTAGAGGATATGGAAAGTATGTATCTTGACTACTTGATGGTGGTGTCGGATAGTCGTGTAAACCTATAAAAGAACGTCAAGGCAACATAGTCACAAAAGCACATGAGACAGTGTATGTTCAGATCAGCACCTACACATAACACACACACACACACACACACACACACACACACACACACACACACACACACACACACACACACACACACACACACACACACGCGCATGTGTGCACACACATCCATGCATATGGGTGCGCACATGTACATGCGCACTCTCTCTCTCTCTCTCTCTCTCTCTCTCTCTCTCTCTCTCACACACACACACACACACACACACACACACACACACACACACACACACACACACCTTGGTCCTTGGTAACACTGCCATCAAATGGTCACGTGTCCCCTGTGCAGGGGTCGACAGCACTGAGTTCAGCATTGGACCCAGAAACGCCGCTCTACTTCCTGGACAGGAAATTAGCACAGCTATGCAGGTCGAAACCACGGGATGACTTGCAGCAGCGACCGCAGCCGAGACAATGCGCTCTGCAGCAGGGCAGGACAACCCGCTGTTTCCGGACCGAGTCTGCCGATGCCACAGCCGAGACCGACGCCACTTCAGCAGCCGAGTTGGAGAGACACTTATGCGAAGCTAGCCCGCCAGCACTCAAGAACCATCTCCCGCACGCATTACATAGTCGGCTGCCGGACTGCTCAGATATGGGCTTCCTCCTCTCGGCCAGGCACTTGTGGCGATTCTTGTATTTCTGGTGGGCGAAAGTACGCTGGCAAACATCGCAGAGCACAGAAGTGTCACGCTGAGCCGATCGCGGTACTGGTTGAGCGGAATACGCACTGCGCCATTTCCCACGCTCCTGGGCGAGGTCGTACCATTCCGTGTGGTCGATGTTCACTGCGGAGAGGTCAGCTCTGACAGAGTCTCGCCACCGTTTCCGAGGACCGCAAGCCGGCCTCGGCGGAAGGAGCGCACCAAACAGGAGCTGGCGCGGAGTTCTATCCCCGTCCATCCTAGCTAGATGGCCTAGCCACTCCAGACGGCGGCGAAGAACACGTGTGGTAATATCCACTGGATCTCGACGATTCCAGGCCTCCAGAATGGTCTTCCTGTTGATGTGGAAGTCCCAGGTGTCTCGTCTACCGAGGGCTAAGATTGCGGAAATGCAGCGAAGATGGAAGGCGGACAGCGCCGCAAGCTCGCTTTTCAGTGGTACCCAACACTCCGCTCCGTAAAGGAGAAGAGAAGCCACACATGCATCATACACCATTCGCTTCGTTGCCAGTGAAAGATCGCCATCATCAAAGACAGATCGACGCAATGCTCCGAATGCCCTAGATGCTGACGCTATTCGGGACCGAGTGTCCACTGTGGTGCGGCCACCAGTATGGATGATGGAGCCTAGGTAGCGAAAGTCATGCACATTCTCGACAATTCCCCCGCCAACCACCAATGGACGACGATCCTCCGGAGAAATGCCGAAGCCGACCGCCATTACTTTGGTTTTTGATAGGTTGATGGTGAGGCCGAAGCGAGTTGCGACGTCCATGAACCGGCTGAGCGCAAGTGTGGCACCATGGTGAGTTGTAGCAATAAGTGCCGAATCGTCTGCGAATTGACAGTCACGATGGATGTTGATTGTGTCAGTCTTCTGGCGTTTGAAAAGGAGAGACGGTCCAGAGTTAGAGGAGTTGTATGGCCCCAGTATTGTTCAATATATTCATGTGGGCAGTATTCCAGCTGTGGCAGCGTGAGGTTGCGGACATACCTGAGATTGGACTTCCCGTCTCCTCGCCTAAACCTGGCGGCAACAAGACTATGGTCGCTCCCACATTCTGCCAAGCGAATAACCTGAGCATCAGTGCACCAGTGCCGGCTCCCTTGCGCTGTGATGATGAAGTCAATACAATGGACATGTTTAGTTCTGGGATGCTGCCAAGTGCCTTTCAATTCCTGCTTTTTCCTGAACCAGGTGTTCGCGATCCAGCATTGATGCATTGCCAGAAACTGAAGTAGCTCCTCTCCAGACGAATTCAGGCAGCCCAAGCCATGTGAGCCACGCACAGCGCTCCAATCATCACCTGGCTCTCCAGATCCCACTCTGGCATTGAAATCTCCAAGTAGAACAAATTTATCTGTGCACGGTATTGAGTTGAGTACTCCTTGCAGAGAGTCATAAAACGCATCCTTTTCACAGCGCTTACTGTTGAATGTTGGCGCATAAGCTGTAACCAGCGACATCCATTCAACCTCTCCACTCGCCAGATCAAACTTCAAGCGTATGGACAACAACCGAGCGGATACTGCGACGAGTTGACAACCTCCTTCGCGCCAGGCCCGAAGCGCATTTCCCCTCAGCACAAACACACACACACACACACACACACACACACACACACACACACACACACACACACACACACACATATAAACACAGTCATGCATGTACATGTACATCCTTCAAAGCGGTGAACCCCTTGATAGGCGACAAGCCTCTGGGTCATCCTAATAAAGATATTATTATTATTATTATTATTATGTTTTATTCACCAAAGACCTAGCAGCTATATACATGTATAGCAGGCATGCGCGGCATCACTACTTACCTCCTGTTCGTACCAGGGACACGCCTGTGGGTTCTTCAACATCGCACACTTGCATGCTGCCAGGACCTTGATCCATTGGCGGTGACAACAGACGCGTGCGACCGACATCAAATATTTTTGACCTGTGGTAGATCATAATACTACAATTTGGTTAGGTTTGTGAAAGAAATCACTGAAAACCGGACAAGATCATTCTGTAAAACAAGAATTTTTCGGCCTTGCGATACTTTCCGTATGTCCCAAATTGCAGGTTTCGATCACGTTTTATTTTCAGTTCCGTGTTTTTCCGGGTTCAGACTGGTATTACGAGTATTAGGACAGTGCCACTGTACTGTAAGTTTCATTTTATTTTAGATACAATTTGCTCCTACCGTAGTTTCCAAAATAGAACTGCACCCGAAATTTCTGGTTTCACACTACCAAGGCAACCTATGAACTTGCCACATACCCATTCTAACAGATACCTATTCATCCCGCTATCACTCAGCTACAGAGAGCAGAAGCCACTCCTGTAAGCCATTGCCATTTCTCCGCTGCAGATTACAGAAGTCGCTTCTGTAATCCGTTGTTCCGTGTCTGCTACAGAGAGCAGAAGTCCCTTCTGTAATGCATGACTTACCTTGCATGCCTGGCCTGTCTTGCGTGTAATTGCTGTGAATGCTGCCTGACACTGTCCACTGCATTGCCAGGGAATGGTCTCGGCGTGCACAGTGCACCACTGCCACCGGTTTTGCTAGACGATGAAGCCGTCAGCTTGGTTTTCCTGGAGTAGTGCTGTGGTCGGGGTAGATCAGGATAGGGCTCAGCGCGATTGCCCCTCCGTCTTGACTTTCTCACCTAGACAATACAAACAAAAATCATGGTTCACGTAAGACTCGGCTAGAGGCCAGGTGCTCCGCATCCGTGGGAACGACACCACCCTCAAGGACCAAGGCTCAATACAATGTGACATGGTCGTGAGTGCTTGCTTGTGATAAGATGATCCGCTGAGGAGTGAGTAACCCTGGAAACCAAACAGTGGTATAACACCTTTTAAACAATGCACCGAGTGTAGAGGGGACGGTTTCAAATAGGACACCGGTTGCAAACCGGAACGGACTCAATATTCACTTTCTCTCTTGGTATTTTGATTAGAAAACATATGTCACAGTGAGACTACGATGTGTTATACTCCGAGCCAAAATTTCATGGCTCTGCGATGACCAGAAGCGCCATATCAAGCAGGTGAGTTTTTGACGTGTTGCTTCGCACTGCGACTTGAGTTTTACGACTTTCGAAAAATCAACTTCTTGTCGCAGGTAAACAGCGGCTCGCCTCTCGCATATAAAGCACCGCATACCAATCAAAACTAATGGAAGCACACACAAGGCTTATTGTTACTCTGTACTGGCCGTCGTGGAGCGATAGCAATTACCTAATTTCAGACCCAGAGTGAATTTGACGGGCACTCTAAAACGTGTCCGGTTTGGAGCCACCTCTGATTTGAACTTTTTTGAAGCGAAAAATTGGGCAACTTGAAGGCAATGGGTCAACACAAAGGAGTGGCTCAGTTCGATTGACTCTGGCCCCAGAGCAAACTTCAACATGCCAGTTTCCTTCCACAAACATATTTCGAGTGAAAAATCAACGCTGATGATCGGTTTGGGTCTATACAAATTTGGCTGTCAAAACGTCCCGGTATCGAGCCGTCTCCTCTACCTTGGAAAACCAGCAAACATCGAACAACGTCCACGCATTGGAGCAAGGTGTGGATGTACTGTGACTAGCCATACATACAACACCATGGCATGCATGTTTTCACGGTGACAGCGTGAACAAGGCAAGGACGCACTGTATGGGAAACAGTGCTCCTGACTATATATACAACAACAGCGTGCATGTAGCGCCAAGCCTGTGTTCAGCAACATGCAACCACACCATCATGGACAGAACGCCGGGCTTTTAAACAGGGTCCAATTGATGTCTGGCGATCATGACAAACTTAAAACACGGAGCTGCAGTGGAATTCTTCCCCTGCATTGTTGTGTCAACTGCAATACATGTATGTGCTTAAGGGTCGACGGCGACTCGTCGCACATTTTCTTGTCATCCCCTGAAGCAAACATTGTTCGGGGTGTGGGGGGGGGGGGGGTGTGGATGTTGTGGGCCAAAACCAGAAGCCGACCGGCACAGTACATGGACATGCATGTGGTTTACTCCGTCCGGAATAGCAAGATGCGTTCATTTTTTGGAGGGGGGGGTCCAAGTACGAAATTAACTGATCGTTTCAGGGACAGCAAAAACAAACCTTCGGGACTATCCCCTACATCATTACAGTGCCACCCAAGGCCCTGATGGTTGTCAACCCGATACTTACACCGTGTGCCCCATTGCTGCTAATCAATGATGCTTGGCTATGCCGCGCTGCACTAGCTACAATGCTGTGAAGGGGTTGCTGCTGTTGCTGCTGCTGTTGGTGATGAGTTGGCTGTAGCTGTTGTCTCTCTTGCTGCCTGGCCCGATGAGCCACAAAGAGATCACGCAATGACGAACTGGACGGAGCACTGTTGGTGTTGTATTCCGTGATCCTGTCGACATTCTGACGACGAACAATGTTTGAACATCTGCAAGGTTGTATTGCATAACATAGTCACCAATGCATACAGAGCACCGATGATTGTTTCGTTAGAACTCGATGGTCTTTGCATGAGCAAACCGCAGACAATCAATGCATGCCAGTCTAATGTCGCTCTGGCACATGCATATGGGATATGCTCGGTTTTCCCTTCGTTCCCTATCCTGAGGACCGACGGAACAGCCCGGATGATTGTCTTCCTATTCACATCCGGGTCATGGCCCGGCAAATGCTAAGCAAATTCATCGATGAATGTAACTTGTTCGTAGAGGTCCAAGGAAAAGAGACCAACCATGATTATAAGTATGTTAGTGGCTACTACTGTAAGAATATCATTACATGTACTTCTAATTTTGTATTGACACTGGGTCACATGTACGCACATGAGATATGGAGACCACGGTCAGTGAATGCTGCATTTCGTGCTTCGTGCTTGTGCATGATCCTGATCACGGGACCAACGCAGTAATAATAATATGATTGCAATCAGCCCTTTCTTCTAGGGAATGATATTCGAAGGCAGATTTGGGCAAAATTCAAGTCCACCGTAGATCTATGCGGCACAGCTGATTCAATATCTCCCACCCGGTAGTCCAACTTCTAACTTAGTCGCCAGAGAAGTCACAACTTCAACTTCACGGGAGTTACCTTGCAGAGGTGTGCTCGTATTGGGTGGATGTCTTCGGGCCGTTAGCAGATAACTCGGGGTCTTCCTCACGAATTTCATCTCGCATTGCCTGAATACGACCACCATCGTTGGGGGAGGGTGTATTGGAGGAATCATGACAAACCCCTTGATACGCCCTGCTGGCAGATAGTCTGCCTTGTAGCAGGGAGAAGAGAGGCGATTCGTGTCGCTCCTCCGACACCAAACTGGGCTGGTCCTGCAGCACTGAACCATCATGAGAGGCCGAGAAGGAGGATCTTGACAGCGAAACGTGCTGCGGAGTCAGCCGTGATGCTTTGCCAGCCAAACCCGCGGGTATGCGCGACATCTGGTCTTGTACGCCATATTGCTGCGCTTCCACCAAGCCCGAATTGCCGTCGTGGTCCTCGTCGTCCTGCCCTACAAAGGACATGCATGGGGAATGATCTAGAACTACTTCGTCCTGGATTCGTGGTGGCAAATCTTCGGCCTGCCGTTGTCTATAAGGTGACATCGTGTACATCGCAAGTGATCCTACAAATCAGGAGGAAATGTCATCTGGAATAAACCTTCAGAAAAGGAAGAAATGCCTGAAATATAGCCTGCTGGCTTTGGTTTGCACATGTATGTATCACTAATGAATCGCATGAAACAATCTCTAAGGTGCAAGTAAGTTCTTCACATTTGTGTACGTTTCTGTCCAGACTCCATCAACGACAACGACGACATAAATCTACGTCAAGCGGCAAAGATGAAGCCAAGGTTCGTTCAGCTTCGGTTCAGAGTGCAAAGTACAATGGTCATATACATGCACGGAATAACTTTGGCCGCCATGCACCAGGCTGGTCCAGGGCTGCACACGTAGATCTACGTACCAGCACGAGTGATCTACAAAAATAATTATGCATTGTACTGTGAAACACACAATAATGTAGATCAACCACTAACACTACTGTGACTTATCAGATATATTATACAATAATGTAGACCTACATAATGTCATGTACATCTGATAAAGTGCCTTGAAAGCCTTGCAATGTATGCTTGTGAAGTACAGTAGTTGTGAACATAGCGCTGTAACTCTCACTGAATGCACTGCCACCGGAGCTCCAGCTACATGATTGATCTACACACTAAAAAGGAAAACACAATGGCTTTGCTATGTGAATTTATGAGTGCGCAAGCCCAGAGTAAGAACAAAGACGCTAGAATCTCGGAAACAAGAACACTCCTAGTTGAGACCCCGTTCTTCAACACCCGCTTTTAGTGTAGTTCACTCTTGTTATGTAGCACCGAGCGTGACACGATCGGGAGTGTGTGGCCAATCACTTCTTTAGTTTTATGATAATTATGCATGTTGACTTGCCCATGCCCGTAGACCTACTCGTTGCTTTTTCCTATCGTGACGTGAGTGCGACTGTAGCATTGTTGGCATCGTATCACCATGGTTTTCACTTTTTCAGACTGCTAAAGCCAGCAGTAAAGGCAGTGCAATCACATCATGTATATCTCGCAGCCCTTCCACTAAAAGTCTTTCCAGGCTGCATATCACAAAGCAATGGCACCTCCCTGGCAGTTTGGTTTCTCTCGACACGCACAGGTTCAAGGACACACAACGAAGTGGGCTGTTTGTGTAGTCTTGCAGAGCGAAGAAAGTTTAGCGGTAGCCATTCCATGGCTTTAGTGCGTCCAAGCACTATTCTTCCGGCAGCGGACTGCCACCGCTCACCTCAGCGGCTCAGGCTCAGATTTCAGAAGTATTGAATTATTAATTTTTGTTTTGACTGTGCACATGTGCTCGCTGTGCCGGAGCTCCCTTTTATCGGAGGAATGAAGAAACGCTCGTGAGTCACTGCATGTGACCGTAAAACATGTAGCAGTGCGACGGACACCACTCGTCGTGTGTAGATCTACACTGTGTTCTTCCGGGCTTGTCCTCTCTCGACAACACGGACAGTAAATCTAGCCTGCACTCTGCAGCGCTTGGCTTTGACTCGAATGGATGTAATATAGCCGACAGTAATGTTGTTGTTTCGTACAAGGACGCTATTGGAGTTCACCAGCTCTTCGAAAATGGTCGCATCCATATGAAGCGGAGCGTGCGCATGGCATGCTGAGGCGAGGGAGCACTGTGGTTTGATTTCCATCGACGTACCAAACTACAGACGTTTACGCGTCGTTATCATCAGTGCATAGACTGCAGACATCACCACATCACGCAGAACTCGGCCTTGTTTCAGCAGCATGTTCGAACTCCTTGAAACCTCCGTCATGCAGGACAACTACTAGTCTTGTGACAAAAGTCCATAAACTATGCACTCTTGGCACTAACTAATTACTCTGGTCGTTGGAAATTTGTCGGGTGCAGCTGGTGATGCATGGCGGACAGATGAGACAGATGTCGGCGGTGGAGAGCAGAGAGTGTGTCCACACAGTTTGTGCAGACAACTGAGACACATGCAAGGCTGTGCCGGTATGCATGCACTGAAGAAGAACTAGCTCCACAGTGTCAGAGGAGGTACTGGACCGGAAAGCAAAACGCGATGTCTGCTTATCGCTCTGGCTCATATCCCCGCCTGGCACGAGGGAAACATGGACGCAGCGAATGGGATTTTCAGTCTTTGACCACTGTGCTGGTGGGCTGATCTACTCACCTCCCATCGCTTTGGGCTGAAATTCTGAGTGCAGCTAGCTGTCGATCCACCTGCAGTCACACCCTGGATGAACTGGGGTGGCTAAGGAAGGGCGGAATACGGCATGCAGAGGATTAGCGCCTGACTGCGAAGAGCCGCTACACACACAGACACTGAGTCTGTTCTCCCCCAGCAGAACAGCATCTGCTTGTCACCGAGTGTGTGCATGTAAAGGGTCATACTTCACGTACAACATTACCATGCAAGAAAGACTGTGCCGCTCCGGTCATCAGCTTACTGCAGCTCAGCACACTGCAGGCTAGGATGATAATGGATTGAGCACGGCGGCTTGGGTCCATAGCTGCGTGCGGAGCAGCTAGACATTCATCGCGGATAAAGCCAAGTGCACGACATGAATCATCAACAGACTCGATACTATAAGGTACGTGAATCATTCTTGAAAGAAATGTGCCTTATATGTTGCATTGTGTGACCAGTGCGGAGCATACCACACACACTTGGGAGTACAGTGAAGCCTGTCTAAGACGACCGCTCAAGGTACCTTCATAATGTGGTCTCTGTTGCCAGGTGGTCTCCGTATCCAGGGTCGTTTGACTGGAAATAACATCCCTTGGTTCTGGTTTCTGTGGCCTTCTAAGACAGGTGGTCACCTTATCCGGGTGGTTGCCTTGACAGGTTTTACTGTAGTCACTGGTAGTAGCATGTAGAAGGAGAGGACGACCGGGGCAACTGGAATGCAAAACAATTAGTGGTTTTCGCTCCCGGCACAACCAGTGCCAGTTTCCCTGTAGCAGCCGGCCAATTTTATACACACTTGCTTGCCGGGGGTGTCATCGGGTAGCAGGGGCTTCGCACACAGTACTGTCACTACGGTATTGACCGTACCACTATTTGCCCCAAGTACCCCGATAGACAATGAAATGCACTGATTTGGGCTCTAAATTTCCAAAATTTTCGGCTCAGCCACCCCTCCCCCCCGAGTAAATTGTACTTCAGATGGCTGACCGTACCACACTAAATCACCTTCCGACGCCCCTGGGTAGTACGGTACCCGTGCTACCCGTAATTAGAGCGGGTGCAGTATTCGGGTAGGGCGCGTTCAGACTAGGGCTGAAACAATTATACCGATAACTCGCATATCGATCGTTAAGAGTGCAATCGATAATCGTTAGTGTTCAAAACGAGTGCTAACGATTTAAAATGCATCCATATCAGTGACAGTATTCTAGCCCTTGCACTCCATCCAATAGTGAATACGAGTACAATCATGACTTTCAAGCGCAATACAATTGATTTATGGCTTTGAAAGAGATGGGGAGAGATGACTTTGTCTTTTTGGTTCATTTCTGGGAGAGGTCGGAGATAAGAGCAGTTGCAACAGGGTGATGACAAGATTCCGATGTCAACAGTGCAGTGCCGCAAATCTCTAACGTACTTCGAAGTAGCAAAGGCATCATGGAATTTCTTCCTAAACTAGTATTCGAGGTACACGGGTAGAGACAACAAGAATCGATAAAACCAATAAATCGATCGTTAATGATATTGGTTGATCGTTAGGAGTTATTGAATGATCGTTTCAGCCCTAGTTAAGACTACCGTGAATCCCGTCAAACCGTGAATGGCGATAAACCGTGAAGGACATTCACCCTACCGATAAACTAACGTTACCGGTACGTAAGTTTTGCAGCTCTCACCGCGGCACTGAGAAGGGATTTTCCCTTTTTCCCAGCCTGAGCACTTTTTTACTGCCGGAATGCAGTTACCGCCGGAGCAGCCGCGGTAGTAAAACCGTTCCGCCGGTAACATGCCAGTAATGTCAAATCACCTTGGAAACTTTCCCAATCGGTCACTTTTTATCGGTAGTCTGAATGCGCCCCTAGCAGTTTGCTCCAAAGAACCCGATCGGGTAGTTGGAGTGCGGTGTTTTTTGCAACAGTGCATGTAAAAAGCACGGCTATGTGCTTACCGTACACTTTCTATGTAGCACAAGCGCACACTCACCGTGCAAACTATGTCAAAAAATACCCGATAGGGTACCCGTGCTATCCGGATAGAAATACCCGAACTCGTTACCCGACCAAATCCGTTGCAGCCCTACTTGCTTGTCTGCGTCGGGCTTGAATCAGCAGGTCAAGACTCCAAGCTTCATAACTATAGAGGTTTTGCGAATGATTTCATGATGGCAGATTTTATAATGGGCTCTAAGTATACAGGATGAGTTGCAAGCAAGGAGTAGTACAATACGGTATTGTACTACTCCTTGCTTGCAAGTGCTGTGCTGTGCCGCGAGTAGTCCGCGACTTTGCCACAGCATCTCAACTGATGATGCAATCTCGCATGACCTCTATACCACGGATCCGATGAAGAATTTCCAAATTCATAGTCACGGCGAAACACAAACCATTTTGGGTACTTTGGTCTCGTGCTGTCTCCCTGGATGGTATTGTAGTCGCTGGTGTCCACCACTTGAACTCTTTTGATAGAGAAAATGTTATCGTGAAGGTGCAGACAATGACTAGCAACTCCCTTGCCTGACCAGGCTATCCTGACCAGGGCTCCCCTGGACCAGGGTTTCTGACCCAGGCTCCCTGACCCAGTTCTCTGACCCAGGTTCCCCTGACCCAGGTTCTCGTGACGCAGGCCGGCTCTCCTTTTTCTCTCCCCCTTTTTTTTACATCAAACACAACCCTACCTATGACTTACGAAGGAAAAAAGGAAAAGGAAAAAGTAGCAGGAACAACTGACCCAGGCCCTCCTGGCCCAGGCTCTTTGACCCAGGCTCTCCTGACCTACATGCAGGCTCTCCTGATTTATGTTCCCCTTGACCCCATGCATGCTTGCATGATCTAGCCTGGCTGCCATGCTCTCCTATTGATCCAGACCACTTTAAAAGTCTTTCCTGACCTACATTGTACATGTAAGCTCCCATGGTTCAGGGTCACGTGACACAGGCTCTCCAGACCCAGGATCTCTTTCATCCAAGATGAACTGATCCAGGTTCCCTTGACCGAGGCTCCTCTGACCCAGGAAGTTTACCTGACCCAAGCTG